TCTAATATTGGAACGTGCCGTTTCAAATCATCAAATGGGCTTAAAACCCTAGTTTGGAACGGGCCGTTTCGGAACAGCTTGTTGTAAGTAAAATTTGAACCCAGAACGGGCTGTTCCACTTTTGAAACGGGCCGTTCCAGATTCTTATTTTACCCATAACAGACTAGCTCAGAACGGGCTGTTCCAAATCCAGAACGGGCCGTTCTGGCCCTCTTATAATATCTATAAATAGAAGACTCGGGCACAGTTCTCTAGGCAGTCAGAGAAATTTTGAATAAGACTCCTTCGAGCACGAAAATTCTCTATCTCTCTCCCTTCTATTGTATTTCTTGAGATTTGTGTCGCATCTCTATCTTCTCTCTCCCTCCTATTGTATTTCTTGAGATCTGTGAGACATACTGTAGTGTGAAAAGTCGCCACAAAGCACCTTCTCCATATTTGAAGATTCAATAAAGCTCGTTCAAGAGGTATTTCAGTCAATCTTCTTCTCTTCCTTTTATTTCTCATTTTTATCTCTTTTTTTTTATAATAAACGTCATAATGTAGATATTTTAGGGTTAATCGCTTAATTTATATTTTAAGCATGTAAATAAACATTAATAAAGGGGATTCAATATTTAATTTATTAATTCTTATCGTGTTAATTTCATCATAGGGTACCGATTTAGGGCGTTGTAGGGGTGCTTAATACCTTCTCTACTCGTAATCGACCCCCGAATCCAATTGTGGTTATCAAGGCCATTACTGGACCTAAAAAAAACCTTTTCTTTTTCCAATGTTTTGAGTAAAATATTGGTGGCGACTCCATGAACCTATTTTCAAAATCATTGATTAAGGATTAGTCTGGTGTCCGGGCATTCTTTAATTGATGAGATCTTTAAAAGGATGTCTAAACCATAGGTCGCGAGATCGGAAACTTTTAGGTTGCGACATCCCCCATGGCACTTCTTAGTGTAATTTCCAGATTGGGAACGGTCGTTCTAGATGACACTTTTTAGTGTAATCTTTAGGCGCGAAATGACTGTTCCAGGATTGGGAACAACCGTTCCCCTACCCAGGCACCTATAAATACATGCCATGACCTCACTTCTACAAACACACTTCATTATTTTCCCCTCTTTGACTTTCTTCAGGTCACTCTGAGTAAAATAAGCTCATTATAGTTTCAAAGTTTTCCTAGTCTAGAATTTTGAGCAATAGTGTGGTTCTTGTAGAGTGAAGAGGTTGGCAAAAAAGTGCCCGTTTAAATTCACGAAAGGATTTATAAAAGCTTGCTTCGGAGGTTCCAAATTCTTCTTTCTTATTTATTGCTTTACTTATCACTTTTCTTGTATGCAATAGAATAAGCTTTATGTAGTTAATAAAGCAACATGTATGTATTAGATTAAGAATAATGTAGAGATAAATCGTTGTATGTTTAATAAAATAAGGGGTAAAAATCTAATTATGTCGTCGTTATGTTAAAATTGTCATAAGGTATCAAGTTCGGGCTTTGTGGGGTGCTTAACACCTTCCTCACATGTAACCGACCCTCGAACCTGCTCTGGCTGTGAAGGACAAAGTCAACTTTTCCAAAAATCTATTTTCTTTTTTCGATGTTTTATGTAAAATATCAATGGCGACTCTTTCGAACCATTTTCAAAACCATCAAATGGCGGGTAAGTTCGATCTTCGGGCAATTTGAAGCTGATGAGATTTTCAAATGGAGGTCAAAATCATCTATTGGCCTAGTTAGAATTTTCATGGTTTCGACAGCTCCCATAGGCCAATTTAACTGCAACAAGCTCATATATCATTTTCTAGTTATACCCCCTAAAATACTATATACACCCCTAAAAATAAAAATTTGAAGGAAACAAATTCATACTCTAATTGACCCAAAAATATAAGATAAAAATTAAGAAAATATTTACATGGAAAAATATACACAAAGAAGAAATAAATTAAGTAATTAAATTATAGCTTAAAAGAAGCTTAGGGCTTCTACCTTCATGACGAACTCATTTCTCTTGCATCCTCCTTAACATTGCCCTTGTAATAGGACATTTGGAAGGAAATACTTCATCACTTGATGAACATCTCCATCCTATCCTTCCAATATGGATAGTCTTCTTCATTAAAGGTTATGGCCTTGTAAGAGAAGCTCATTCAAGCAAGTATTGACCTTCACTACTTCCCATCTTGGGATCTTTTCTTTTAGTTTGGTTAGATTCTCAACCCTATCTAATACCAAACTATGGAGAAAATAAAGACACTAGAAATGTGGAGTTGAATAGTGTCAATAAAAAATTCAACACTTTTTGAAACAATGAAGTAATAATGTGACTATAAGAGTGTAGACGAAGAAAGAGAACAAAGAACACAAAGTATTTTTATACTGGTTCATCTTAACCAAGGAGATTACATCCAGTTCTTGATCAACTTGATCAAGTTTCACTATCTTTCATAAAGATATAAGTATTCTTTTATAAGTTACTTCTAGCTTAACCTTAGTATTGTTTGACTTTCCTTTTCAAATAACTATCTAAGTATTTTTTTAAACAATGAAGCATCTCCAAGCTTCAACAATTAAGTATTCTTTATAATAAAGCCTTTTGAGGCTTTAAAAAATAACACAAAGTAAAAGCTAGAAAATCACTTGTTGTTTCCTTCTTGCCTTCAAGATGTGATACAACCAAAGTAAGTACAAAGTTTTTACAAAAAGACTGAATGATTTTTTTCACAATTATTGTTCTCTCTTTCTTTTTGAATCTTCAAGCTTCTTTATATAGGTGTTTCATGAAGATGATTGTTACAAACCTTTGAGATTCTCTCACAACGTTGCTTTGTCTATCTTTGTCTTCCTTCCTTATAGAGAGAAGTGTCCATTGATGCATTAATTGGGAGCATTTAAATGCATTTCACCTAATTATCACTTCTTGTCTGATCAAAAAGGTTACTTATCACCTTGAAGCAAAATGAAGGAACTATTGCGTCTGTCAATTGAAAATGTCGTTATTTGAGACTTTGCACATTTCGAGAGATTTTCTTGTCCTTTTTTTTAATGGAAGGCATGTCTCCATTCCTTTTTGAAGTACATGTACCAAAGAAACTTTTATTCCTCTGATCTATTAAGGAATAACATAGACAAAAATGATTTAGTGATCAGACATCATAAATAATATATATTAAATGAATTCGCATTATACAGATGAAGTGACTCGTTTGAGAAACTACACATCATCATAATCAATTGTCTATTTGAGTCGTCTTACTGTGTGATTTGAAAAATGTTCCTTAACAAAAATGTTCGAGTACGTTAGCATTAAAACTACTATTCTGAGGGATCCTAGATCGTCCTTTGTTCTAACATATAATAGGGATCTACTAGGATCAATAGCTTCAACTAAACTTTAGTTTGATTAATCAAACTACATTCTAATATAAAGTCATGACTAATAGAATAAGTAAAAAACTTAGCAAAAATTTATTTGACCTTACAATGACACACTATTATAATAAAGGTCCAAATTGAAAAGTTAACAAGGATGATAACAACACCCATATCAATGTGTGCATATGGAAGTATGGTCAGGATATATAAAAAAATATCTCAATTATATTAAGTTAAATTATTATTTTGCATAACATTAGAGAGCACAAATGACGAACATTTCGTTAGTATTTTTATGGACAATTGACAGAAGGACACATTTCACCAAAATTTGAAAGTTTGTGACTTGGGTGCAAATTCGCTAAAAAATAGAAGTTTGGGAACACAGAGCAATCAAATCTTTGTCAAACATGTCACTCATTAAATTTATCTATGTCATAGATATCAGGTCAACACTCCTTCAGTATTTTGATGATTAATTGATAGGAGGACACAAATCTTCAAAATCTAAAATTTGGTAGGCATAATTCATGAGAAAAAATTTAAGACAAAATTTGTAAAAAAAAAATATGTTCAAGAACACAAAGCGCAATTGAATTTATGTGCATGAACTTTTATCTATATCTATAATAATTATGCACAAACTATTCAATAATATGTTACTTTCAACCTTTATATTATAGATTATCAAGGGACATCACTCCTTAACAACACTAAATCACACCAAAAGGGAAGCCTATTTTAAATATAAGTATAAATAAAAAATCAAATTTATTAATTTTAAATATAAGTAAATCTTAATTAAATTTAGTCTATTTAATGTTATCATGTTTGGAATATCACTTTATTTATTTGAGATTATATTTTCATTGATCATTTTTATTCGTAATATTAAGTTTCAAAAAATGAAAATTTTTAAAAATTATTATTTTTAAATAGAAAAGTGTCATTAAATAATATTAATTAACTTTTATAATTAGCATAAATTTTTTTTTGTTACTTTTATACATAATTGGAGGACATATTAGTAAACAGAGAAATGAAAAAAAAAATGTTAAAGAATGAAGTGAATAGGTGGATATTAATTAAGAGTATCTGACAAACTGAAAGACTTATAAAGTCATTTACCTTACTATTTGTTTTTCAAGAAAGTATATTTTAAAACTTTAGAATTTGTTTTTATAAACTAATCAAAATTGTTCATAGTTTATAATTTATTTTTTGAATTTTATTTTGGTTAATTTACTTGAAATTATTATTTTTAATTTAAAAACTCTTTTATCTATATGTGAGTTACTCACTCATTATAAAAATTATTTTATATTTATTAATTAATTTTATCAAATAATGCTAAATATACAACAAAAATTATAAAATATTATTTATGTGTTTATTTCTTTTCATCACTTCATTTATTATAAAATTTAGAATTTAAGATTTATTATTATAAAATTTAGAATTTAGGACTTATTATTAATGATAGAGAAATAAATAAAAAATGATATTATATAATTTGTTATACCTATGGTATCCATTTTTTAACACAATTTTTTCTTTCCTTTATGTTTAAATATTTGATTTAAGTGAAAGTTGATATTTATTATTTCAAATTAGACGTGAAAAATCAGGTGGAGACGTGAATGCAATGACACTTTTAATCAAATTACAAAATTCCATTTTCTTACAACTTGAATTTCCAAAAACAACCTAAGAACACTTGAGGATAAACTCTTGAAATGTGAACAAGAGTGAGGGAGCGACAGTTGGGAAAAGAGAAAGCAGAGAGTGTATGGCGCTACTATTTGTTTGAATAATCGAATTACACATAAAGAGAAGTTGGCAGAAGAAAGAAAGTAACAAAAATGGGTTTCACTCTGAGCCTTCCAACGCCCTCACTCTCCTTCTCTTGCCACTCTATGAAGGTGAGTCCCCATTTCTCTTGTCTTTAGTTTCTGCTTCAAAATCAAATAGGTAATCGGTGTTGTGTGATGTTTGAGAATGCAGTGTAAGAGAGAGTACACGAGCGTCATGATAGTGCCAACAGGGGTTGGAGCGGCTATCGGAGGTTACGCTGGTGACGCTTTGCCTGTGGCTCGCGCACTCTCCTCTCTTGTCGATTGCCTTATCTCTCACCCCAATGCAATTACTTTCCTACCCTAATTCCTTTATCTTATGTACCACTTTTATCTTATTTCTTTCTACTCTAATATATTCAAAAAAAAAAAAAAAGAAGAAGTGAATACTCAATTATGCCCCTGAATTTGTAAAATACTGTTATGTTGTTCTATGAAATTAAGAAATTAAATTATCGAATAAATTCCAACAATGTCAAGTAAAATTTTAAATTTAACTACTTAGTGTTATTTTAGTCACTAAATGAATATATATATATATATATATATATATATCTCGATATTATCATTATAGTCTAACATTTTTTTTGAGTTTTAGACTAATATAATTATGAATTTGTACTTTCTGGGATATATTTTACAATATTTTAGTTCTAAGGACTAATTTGATGGTATCTTCCAAATTCAATTAATTTGAGTATTTATTTTATTAAAAAATTGTGATTTAATAATCTTTTGAGTTTCTATAATCATATGAAATTTACTTTTTAGTCCTTATAATTAAAAATATTTCAGTTTAGTTTCTAAGCATAGTATTTTTTTTTCTCATAATTTTATAAATTTTACCTTTTAATCCTTAAAGCATTTGAAGTTTGATCACCCACCAATCAATAAGTTAGATTTCATCTCGTTTTAAATAATTTTCACATGCTACTTAGTTTCATTGCTATGGTTGAAGAAATTTGCATTCAAATTTTGCAGGTGCTTAATGCAGCAATGCTACACTGGCCAATGCCTAATGCATTATATGTTGAAGGTTATGCTCTTGATCGTTTTGCAGAAGGGTTATGGGCCTTACAGCCCGTTCACCAAAACAGGGTATGACTCAAATTTTATATTCTGAATGTGCTGCATCCTTGACTGGTTTATGTCATGCAGTGAGTGTTGCAACTTACATTTTGGTTTATTAGTCATGCTTTCTCTTTCCATCTCAAATTATGTATCGAGTTTTATTGTGTAAAGCAGGTGGGATTAGTTCTTGATGCAGGAATAGAGGAGGAACTCCGGGTTCGCCAGTTACAAGTAGCTGATGCTGCAAGGGCATCTCTTGGATTGCCTGTTGTGGAATACATTGTCACAGACACTCCACTGAAGGTATCCAGCATGTTCTTATTTTAATGAACATAATGAAATGTAAACAGTCCATTAACTTAGCCGAATGGCATTGTATCATCGATATAGCTGGCCTCACCTGGTGGGACAAGGCTATTCTTGTGATGAAATGTTAACCATCCTATATTTTCTGCCAATTTTCCTTTCACTTGACGTACCTTTGCTCATAAAGTCTCACAGTTTGGACCTAGTGACATAATTTGGTTCTTCAGCAAAAGGCCAATCAGAAGTTTTACAATTTGAGATGTGAGTGCTGTTGATCTCACCTTAGGGAGCATCTTGAAGTTATATAAAGCATGTGCTGTCCCACAAAAAAAAAATACTGCCATTTTGCTAGATTCTTTTATTTTATTTTAATTTAAACATGTTGGTATTATGACCGCTTATTTTGCATCTTCCAAGGTTGAAAATTTACATGTGTTCTTGTTAGTTGAATAAACCATATGCAAATTGTATTTATAGGATTTGTAGTTAACTAGTTATAGTCTTATAAACACTTAACAAGATATTCTATATTGTTATTGTGCACTAGAAAGAATAAAATAGAATTTTAACTGGATGGAACCATGCCAGGTTATCTTATTGTTGTATGTGTTTTCTTTCTATTTCTCTAATTTGTCTTTTTGTCAATTAAAATTGAAACTACGTTTTACTCATTTCACATCTCAGAATGTGTTGAAAGTTATATGTAATTTATTCTTGCTGCTCAGACTTGGTTATTATTGAAACTGGATATAGGAAGTCTTTATGCATGTCTAAGTCTATAATTTCAGGCATCTATTATCATGGTCTGAAGCAATTTAAAATGCCTAGTCAAGTTGGAGTGAGCTGACCATCCAATGTGATGCCAGAGTTTGACTTGCACCAAATTTTACAGGTAGAGAAGTGGGTTGATCCAGAAACTGGCCAATCAACTGGGAGGATTAAGCACCCTGATTCTTTACTTAGAGCTGTGCATACATTAGTGAACAGGTCAAAAGTGAATGCCATTGCTGTCATTGGACGTTTCCCAGATGATGACACTGACGATGTAGATGAGTATCGGCAGGGAATGGTATGGCGATAAATCTAGAAAAATATAATTTGATTAATTGCAAGTTCTATTAGATTAAAAGAAATCATGGATGTTGTTCTTTCTCTTTCTTGGTTCTTTCATATTCATCAAATATATGATATTTGTTCTTGAAATATAACCTGATGTTAAGAGATTCCGTTTGCTTCTTATGACTATCCTCTGAATTCCAACAAGGCTAACAACTTTGGTTCTTTTTTCTTTAATTTTTCATTTGAACTTTCCTTTGTCATAATAACATTGCATGGTCAGCAATTCAGGAGCGAGTCTCGTATTATTTGATTACTGACATTTGCTTCCCACTTTTTACATTATTCAGGGAATAGACCTATTGGCAGGAGTTGAGGCAGTTATAAGTCATCTAGTGGTGAAAGAGTTCCAAATTCCTTGTGCACATGCTCCTGCAATGTCTCCACTTCCCATGAGTCTATCTCTTAGTCCAAAATCAGCAGCTGAGGAGGTTGGTAAACTCTAAATAACAAATCATTTGGACATTTGATTTAACTAAATTAGAATGGAGTAGCCAACATTTTTTGAACTAAATGTTAGGTTAAAGTAACTATTATGTCACAATAACATCTATCAATTATATTTTAGTTTATTACTTTTAGCTGTTTTTCTCTTTTATCCTGTTCCTGCGTAGAAACACTCCTCTTGTCGTTCTTTCTTCTTGATCTTCTAAGTCTTCGGTGCCGACCGAATACTATCTCCACGGGGTGGGGAGGGTACCTGCAAAGGCACTCCAACGATCAAGTGAGTATTCGGTATAGAGCAATAAGTGCTTTTATATTGGACAATAACGTACCTTTTTATATCACATCACCTGTGTATTTATAGTGACACAATTGGGCCTGGTGGGCCTTTAGTCTTGGCAGATGGGTAACACTTGAGTTAGCCTTAATCTCCTCTTAATCTGGCATGGTAATTAGCGCATAATAAGTATCTAACTTGCCACGTGTTGTTTGTGATCTGCTCTTTGTTGAAGTCCTCGGCTAGGCGTAAGGCCGAAAGGGTGTTCGGCCTCCCCCGAGGCCGAAAAGGTGTTCGGCCTAGGTCAATGCCGAGGAGGTGTTCGGCCCAGGTCAAGGCCGAGGAGGTGTTTGACTCGTCCTTGATGGCAGTGTTGCTTGTGATCTGCTCTTTGTTGAAGTCCTCGGCTAGGCGTAAGGCCGAAAGGGTGTTCGGCCTCCCCCGAGGCCGAAAAGGTGTTCGGCCTAGGTCAATGCCGAGGAGGTGTTCGGCCCAGGTCAAGGCCGAGGAGGTGTTTGACTCGTCCTTGATGGCAGTGTTGCTTGTGATCTGACACACACATATCGTATAAGTCACAGTCTATTGCCGCAACATTAGGTGTATATATGTACATTTTTTAAAAGGGCCATAGCTGTGACCCTTGTTCTTGCGGCTATTTCTTTTCCATAATCTAAACACCAAATAGCCTTTTGAATTGCATCTTCAAAAAATATTCTAGCCAGCCAGTCTTCCTGATTGTTAGGTATAGTTTGTGACCTGTAATTATTTTTGCACAAGCTGGAAAAAGCAGTAATTTCACCCACTGTTCTCAATATCTAAGTCCCTATTAGTGCCTTTTTTCTTCTGCCTTGAGCCACTGTAGATCTTTAAGCACATTTTAAAAGTGCGTATCTTGTAATTTCTTTTTTTTTTTTTTTGGTTGTTAAGCTTATTTAGTGGCTGTCTTTTAAGTTGGGAGTGTGCTAATTTTTGTTTTTTCCCATTGGCTTAATATTCAGGCATTCTTAGACTTCAGATGCTCTGTTGTTGAGAGACGTGCAAGGTTTAAGTTATCACAAGCACAAGAGAGAAGGCATATTGTTGAGGTATGTCACAAACTCTTTAAGATCCATTTTTGTATGGTTCTTGTCATGTGCTTACTGTAGAACTCATGCATATTCCACTGGTAGAGACGTAGTATTTAACTATTTATAAAATTATTTGTGTTTGTTTGAGTTATAGAGGTACCATCAAAGTGATAGCTATAAAATGAGTATAACACCAAACTTGTATTTTCTCATGTTTAAGCATATTTTGTTTCTTATATTCTTACTTTATGCTTATAGTGATTATTGTAGTTAATAACAGGTAACATCTCCTTGGATTTCTTTAACATGCATTTCTAATATATCACGAAATAGTGGAAGCATCAAAGCTTGAGTTTCTTAAAGTAGTTACTTACATAGTTGCCATGTTATATGATTATATCCTAATTTTTTTCTTCGTGATTTCAATATTCCATAGTTTGCTCACGTGTAAAGCAACTGTTATAAAAGTTTGAAGTTTGAACACTACCTTGGTTCAGGTTTGGCCTTTCAGTGTACGCCTGTAGGCTGAAGACTAAAGCTTAATTGTAATTAGTAGAGAACATGATAAAGGAGTGGAATTTAGCTACCTGAGAGAGGGAGAAAATAAATCAGATACATTTAGGAATGTGTAACAGAGTACAATATATTATTTTCAGTTTTTCAGCCTGTAGCTTGGGACCAGAGATAATTCCTTGTCTGGATGCATTGCCCTTCCTGTATTTTCATCTAATTTTTTTTTGCCAATAATACAATTCACGTTCTTTGTTAAGGATTGCAAGCTATCAAACTTGGCTGGAGATCTTTTTGTTTTTTAATAGAAATGTTTTGCAATAGTTGTTAAAGATACAGGTTTTTCCTTTTGCTGGACTTGGAATAAAGGAACAAGTGAAAATTAGGATAATTGTTCATAAACACTGCTTGTTATGTTGATTGGAAATATCTGATACTTGCTACTTTTATCTTGAAATGTGTTGATGTACTCTTGTTATTAGCTTGGTGAATGGTGACATAACTGTTCATTTGGCTTATCCATATTTTTTGAAAAAAAGATAGATATGCTAAACATCACAATGTGGGGAAGAGATCCTAACTAGGTTAATACCTCACCCTACAACAATCATCTGCAACATATCAAACAATTTATATAACTCTAAAATGAAATGAAAAAACAAGTACAAAAGTATTTGTAGTTCTCACTACGAGAACCGTGTGTAAGACCACTCCTCTCCCTAGAGTAAGACAATACAATACAAGGAGGAATGACAAACCACCAAAAAGAATCGGAATGCCTAAGACCAAACCCAGCTAAGCTAAACAACACAACCATTACCCTCCCTATAAGGTGAGAAGTTGATGTTGGAGGCCGAGGTGGCTCGGTTAAGGGAGGCTTATGCTGAGATGGAGGGTCGGGCTCTTGCGGCGGAAGACGCCGAACGGATGAGGGTCCAAGAGGTGCAGGAACTTGCGGCTCGGGAAAAGCAAGTAAAGGCCGAGGCCGAGGCTGCCATGGCTACTTTCCGGGCCGAAGTTGAGGGCAAACAAACCACCAAAAAGAATCGGAATGCCTAAGACCAAACCCAGCTAAGCTAAACAACACAACCATTACCCTCCCTATAAACATGAGAGAATCTAAACCTCATGTTTAATTAACTCAAGCATATTCATCCACTGTACAAGAAAGTGCCAAGGCACTAAAGAGGGATCATGGAATGCCTTGATGTCAAGCAGGGAATTTGACTCCAACCAAAGAGACATCTAGCCTTAATCACGGGCAAGCTAAACTGCACGAATGATTGCCAAAACTTCCGTTTCCAAGGCTGACTTGACTATCATTGACTTCGCAAAACAGCCGAGCAAGTTAGCAGAGCTATATCTAAAGATAACACCCCACAAGCAGCCGAAGAGAAAAAAGCTCCATCTGTATTGCACTTGATCCAAATAGGAGCAAGGGGAGCCAACAAACTTCGACAATGGTTTCTATTTTGCGCAACCTACAGGGCACCAAAAAAGCCTTAAAATAGTTTAAATTCCATAATGTTAGATTTCATAGAGAAAGAAATTAAAGAGCAACAAGAATTAACTAAAGCTAAAATCTTATTTTTCAAAAAATCAAGCTTTGTAGTTGAATTTTTAAATTTTATTTGATTTCTACTATGCCAGATCTCAACAACAAGAAAGGTAAAAGTTGCCAAAAGTACAATATTAGCTAATTTGCTCCATGGTTTGTTAAGGATATCCAAAACATTTCTAACATTCAATCTAATATCAACAATCCTAGATAACCAATCCCAAAGACTTGAGACAAAAGGACATTCAAAACACATATCAGTAGTATTTTCATAGGCATTATAGCAGTGGGAACATATGGAGGTAATGACAACCCCCTTTCTACGAAGAAGATCCTTAGAGGGAAGCTTATCATGTTGAAGTCTCCATAGAAGAGAAGATTTGGAAGGGGGGAGATGATCATTCCAAATTTGTTTAGCGCAATTAAGCTTAAGCTTAGGTACAAACCACCAAAAAGAATCGGAATGCCTAAGACCAAACCCAGCTAAGCTAAACAACACAACCATTACCCTCCCTATAAACATGAGAGAATCTAAACCTCATGTTTAATTAACTCAAGCATATTCATCCACTGTATTTTTTTTTGGTTGTTAAGCTTATTTAGTGGCTGTCTTTTAAGTTGGGAGTGTGCTAATTTTTGTTTTTTCCCATTGGCTTAATATTCAGGCATTCTTAGACTTCAGATGCTCTGTTGTTGAGAGACGTGCAAGGTTTAAGTTATCACAAGCACAAGAGAGAAGGCATATTGTTGAGGTATGTCACAAACTCTTTAAGATCCATTTTTGTATGGTTCTTGTCATGTGCTTACTGTAGAACTCATGCATATTCCACTGGTAGAGACGTAGTATTTAACTATTTATAAAATTATTTGTGTTTGTTTGAGTTATAGAGGTACCATCAAAGTGATAGCTATAAAATGAGTATAACACCAAACTTGTATTTTCTCATGTTTAAGCATATTTTGTTTCTTATATTCTTACTTTATGCTTATAGTGATTATTGTAGTTAATAACAGGTAACATCTCCTTGGATTTCTTTAACATGCATTTCTAATATATCACGAAATAGTGGAAGCATCAAAGCTTGAGTTTCTTAAAGTAGTTACTTACATAGTTGCCATGTTATATGATTATATCCTAATTTTTTTCTTCGTGATTTCAATATTCCATAGTTTGCTCACGTGTAAAGCAACTGTTATAAAAGTTTGAAGTTTGAACACTACCTTGGTTCAGGTTTGGCCTTTCAGTGTACGCCTGTAGGCTGAAGACTAAAGCTTAATTGTAATTAGTAGAGAACATGATAAAGGAGTGGAATTTAGCTACCTGAGAGAGGGAGAAAATAAATCAGATACATTTAGGAATGTGTAACAGAGTACAATATATTATTTTCAGTTTTTCAGCCTGTAGCTTGGGACCAGAGATAATTCCTTGTCTGGATGCATTGCCCTTCCTGTATTTTCATCTAATTTTTTTTTGCCAATAATACAATTCACGTTCTTTGTTAAGGATTGCAAGCTATCAAACTTGGCTGGAGATCTTTTTGTTTTTTAATAGAAATGTTTTGCAATAGTTGTTAA